AGTTGGGAGGATGTCCCCGAGGGACTTGGTAGAAGGGGATTTTTGGGAGGAAAACTGCATCTCAGCCTTCGATTCATCATGAATCATGGACCATTAAGGCCAAATGGTCAGCGGGAACACAGCGCGGGGCTGGGAGTCTGTGGAAGTGGTATCACCACCAGCCACAAGGGACTCCACACACATCCCCTTCATGCTTTGAGGCTCAACTTCCATTCTGCCTCAGGGCCTAGAACACAGTTTGAAATTCCCTTCCCCTTTCCCTCAGGGGAAAATTTCTGCCATATCCACCATTACCTGGCCATTATTCACAAAGATTCCCCTGTCCTAACCTAAATGCATTTGATTTAATAAGGAACATTTGTGTCAACAGCATAAATGGGAAAAAATGAAGCAGTATCAGGTCCATACTAAGAAAAATACCCCCAAAATAAATACAGTGAAAAGCAACATTCTAGCCTGAGAATGTTCTTTGCCACCAGAAGCAGCAAGAAGAGACCATCTCCCTCTTGGTTAGACGCAGAGACTGTTAAGAGTGAGGGAGGTGTTCTGGGTACCCGGGGATGGGTGGGGGTCTTTCTTCTGGCCACAATTAGAAGAGAAAGGGGATTGATGCCTCACTCTGGGATGGGCAGTTTAAGGGATGAGCTCACTGGGTGCGCTGTACCCCTACTGTGGGATAGACTGGACCCGATGAGCTAAAGCCCCCTCCCAGGTGTGCACCTGGCCATTCAGGTGGGCCCCAAGGATTCAGTGAGTTCATCACCTCAGGTCCTGAGTTGGGGGAGGAGCAGGGATGTTCCTGCAGCCTGTCTCCCTCTCCCCTTGGCCCCTCAGCACCTCCTGGCCCCAGGCCCTGCTGCTACTGCTTCTGAGTATCTTCAGGGACCCGGAGACAAAGGCAGGTGGGCCTGGTCTCCTTCCCCACACCCAGCCCACCCTGCCCTGTAATGTCCCCCTTTCTGCTTCTCTACTTGGGCTTGGCTGGGATCCTGGCCCAGCCCATCAGATGAAATGGGGGGGAGGCAGGGTACAGGGTTTGCCTCTGCAAGGGATGCTGTGGCACCATTCAATGTTTATGCATTGAGTGCCCTCTGTCTCGTGTTTCTATCTGCCAGGAACCAGGACAGGCCACATAATTTACATGGTCTGGTTCAAAATGAAAATGTGGAACCTTTGTTCAGAAAGTATTGAGAATTTCAAGACTGTGACAGCAGAGCACTAAACCAAGCCTGGGCCCTGTGTGACTGCAGACATCAAGCCCCCATCCTACCCCAGCCTGCCAGACACTATTCTAGGTACCAAAGGCAGGTGCCTGGTAAGCTGTGCCCCAAGGGGACTCCCTGTCATAGAGGGAGTGAGACAGTGAGCTGACTCCAGGGGGATTCCCTGTGGATATGGGCTATTAAAGAAGCAAGCCCATGAGATAGAGAGGCATGAGGGAGCCCCTCCTGAGGGCCTGGCTGGGGGGAGAGCCCTCCAAGCAGAGGGCCCAGCAGGAGCAAAGAAAGATGCAAGAAAGATGCGGGTGGTTCTGCAGATCAAGGGGGCCAGAGCGGTGGAGGAGAGAGGGCAGAAATGAGGTGGGAGGAGGGTGTGGGGTCGTATAGTCTGGGTGTGCAGGGAAAGGAGAGGAGTGTGGATTTTCCACTAAGAAGCAGCTGGATACTCTGGGAGCTTTGATCTGGGGAGTGAGGAGATCCAGCCACTGTCTTGAAAGGTCTCTGGCAGCTGTGTGGAGAAAGTCCTGGACGAGGCAAGTCAGAAGGCGGGTTCAGCAGCGAAGGAGGTGTTAGAGTTGTCAAGGGGAGAACTCAGGGTGCTGGCGGCAGAGTGGGGATGGGGCAGGGGGTCCTGGGCATATTTGGAGGTTGAACACAAGGACACAAGGATTCAGAGATGGACGCAAGGTCTGGTGTCTGCTCACTTCCCCTCAAGGTGTGGACCCAGGTGCCCAGGATGACATAAGGGTGAAATAGACCCACCCTCATCGAATACCAGGAAGGATGTAGAAACCACACTTTCCAGGTGGCCCACACAGCTTGCTATTGGGTCCTGTGAGAGGCTGGAACTTGACCTTAGGCCTAGAAGGGATGAAACTGGATAAACTATCATTTAGTTCAATCCTTGAGACCATTTATTTCACAAAATCCCAGGATATCATGTGGCCATGCACTACCCACTATGCACACAAATCTATTTATGTTCTGGGTTGAATTGTGTCCCATGAAAAGGTATGTCCAAATCTTAACCCCTGGTCATGTGCATGTGACCTTATTTGGAAATAGGGTTTTGCAGATGTGATCAAGTTAAGATGATGTCATATTGTTGGGATGAGCCCCAATCCAATGACTAATGTTCTTATAGGAAGAGGGAAATTTGGACACAGACACACACAAAGAGGAGAAGGCCATGTGAAGACAGAGGCAGTGACTGGACTGATGCATCTATGAACTAAGGAATGCCAAGAATTGAAGAAGCCTCCAGAAGCCTGAAGGAGAGAAGCATGGTACAGGCTCTTCTCTAGAACCTCAGAGGGAGCATGGTCCTGCTGACACTTTGATTTCAGACTTTTGGCCTCCAGAACTGTAAGGCAATAAATTTCTGTTGTTTGAATCACTCAGTTTGTGGTTATTTGTACAACATCCCTAGGAAATGAATACAACTTACGAGCAAGAAACTGAGACCCAATAAATGGAGGAGCTGTCCCCAAGGCAGCCAGTGCTCTAGTCCATCCAAACGACATGGATGGGGATCAGGGAAGGTGGCTCCCCAAAGGACAATAGCCAGAGGCTGTTTCCAGGAGCCAGGCAGGTGAAACCCAGAACCACCCAGGGCATGACTCGCAGCTCCTTTCCTGGCCTCTCTGGTTCCTCCTGGACCTGGGGAATGCTCTGGAGCATTTTCTCACTTCTGCAGACACCTGCAGCCCATACACCACCCCAGGAGGTAGAGGAGGTTGTGAAGATACCAGGAAATGCTTCACTACGGAGCAGCTGCTCTACAGGGAGCTGGCTACACAAGGACTGTGCAGTGAGGTGAGGGGAAAGGAGTCAAGTGAGATTATCCCAGGAAAAACGGTCCAGGAGGGTCCAGGGTCCCAATGGACCCAAAGTTAACTATAACAAAGCAATTAAATTGGGTGCTGAAATTTGATGCCTGAACAATTCTATTCTAGTGGCTAGATGAAAAGCCAAGTGCACCATTTTGAAAAATGGACGTTAAAAAAATTAGGTTTATGCCTTCCTTTTGGAATGAGTGTTTTTGTTCCCGAGTATTTGTAACAGAAGAGAAAGCGCAAGGGTGGGAGGCAGGAGATCTGAGTTCAAGTGTTGGCCCTTCTATTCTAGTGCTCTGTGGCCTTGAGACTCTTTCTTAATAGCAAAATGACCCTATTGGGCCACCACGGTGGTCCTCACATAGTGCTTGATGGAGCCCCAGAGGCGCCTGAGATGGCTTAAGGCAGAGCTCTCCCTGCTTCCCAGCCTGACAAGTCCGGCTTTAGTCTTTCTTTAAAAAAAGAAGTCTGATGCCTGGACTGGGTCAGCTCTGGATTTCCCTTCAACCCAAATATTCCAAGATTCTCCATCAGAGTGACAAACTCTGTTTCGATACACATCATCCTGTTTAGCAGTTGTTGCAAAGCATCCTTTCCTGTGATTGTTTCCTGCACCTTGCCTCTTGTTTGTCCACAGGAACCATGGCCTTCTGGGACATGATTGCTGCTGAGCATGGTCTTTATGCTATGGAAAGGGGGGCTCCAAAGGAGAGTAGAAGGCAAGCAGAGGGAGGGGGTGACCTGAAATTGGGAAAGTTGTTCCCAGGGAGCTGGCTGGGATGGGCAGGTAGGACTGTGCAGGTGAGTAAAGCACAGGCTTGGAGTCAGGTCCCAGCTCTGTCTCTCACATGCCAGGTGACCTTGGGCTGGTCATCTATCCCCTTCAGTCTCCTCACGTGTGAACTGGGGGTGGTAATCGTGCCTATCTCATAGGGCTGTTGTAAGGGTTAAGGATCACAGATGGATAATGTATTGAACCAGGGGCTTGGCATGAGGGCTTTCTACACCAGGCATCAGTAGGCTCAGTGGTTAAGGTTGGCATGGAGGCTGCTTGGGGCCTCAGAGGGAATCCAGTGAAGGTGGCGCTGGCTGGACTGGGACTTGTTACTTCCCAGCCTGAACATCTCCTTTTGGGAACATTTTTCAGCAAGTCCTCAGCTCCTACGGCAATCTGCAGTGTATCTGTTTGCTATTTCTACATAACAACTCCAAAATTCAGTGGCTTAAAATATTTACTGAGTTCACAAATCATATGATTGAGAGCTAGCTGATATTGTGTCTGGAAGTCAGGGACTGTCATTTGGTTTTCTCAGCTGCCCTTGGCTCTGCTCCATGAGTCTCTCATCCTCCCGGAGAATATCCTGGGCTTGACCTTCTCATGACAACGGCATAAACTCAAACGCAAAAGTGAAGCACACAAGGTCTCTTGAGGCCAAGGCTTGGAACTGACACCCTGTCCTTACTGCCACATCGCACTAGCCAAAGCAAGTGTCCAGGAGAGCCCAGACTCAAGGGGTGGGGAAACTGACCCTGCTTCTGTAGGGAAACTGCAGTGTCACATGGCAAGTGGCACAAATACAGAGACAGGAAGGGATGAAGAACTGGGCCACCCTACAACTTCACACACACTATTTTAATGAGGCACCTGTAAGGATCTCTCTGCCCCATGGGCTGATTGCTCTTCCTGAGCGTCCACCTTTCATGATTCATTCCTGTGGTTTAGGGAAATGTGGATTTGGTATCAGAGCACCACACGAGCTGAGTAGAGGTGAAATATCTTGGTCTGTGCATTGATCAGTAGTCTGAGGCCTGAAGTTCATGTAATCACCTCCACAACATGGTTTAACACAGGCTGGCTACAGAAACCCTGGGTGCAAATTTCAGTCCTGAGGGCTGCAATACTTTGTGCAAAAAATATTGAATTCATATTGGGTGCATCCATTCCTTCTTTTATTAAAATGTTTTTATTGTAATACAACACACACAGAAAATATGTACGTATAAGTGTACAGCCCAGTGAATTATTACAAAGCAAATACCCTTGGAACCATCACCCAGGACTAAGACTAGAACAATGTCCCTACCTCTGAAATCCTCACTGCTCGTTCCCATCAGTGTCCCCTCCAGCCCCCAGATTAGCCACTATCTCCACTTTGGTAGCAACCCTTTCTGCTTTTTTTTTCTTTTAGGAGTTTTGCTGTCCAAGTAAGCATCCTTACCCACTGTCATCTAGTTTCTCCTCTTGAAGTTCATTTAGTGGAATCATACAGGCTGTATTGTTTGTGTCTGACTTCTTTCTCTTGGACCTGCTTGTGAGAGTCATCCACTTCATTGCACATAAGCGTAGCTTGTTCTCATGGCTGTGTAATATAACAGCATATGAATATACCACAATTTACTCAACTGTTTTACTGTTGGTGGACATTTGGGTTGTTTCTGATTGGAGGATATTACTGGGAGTAGTCCAGCTCTGATATTCTAGTTCACGTCTTTTGGTGAACATGCCTGCCCATCTATCTATAGGGTATATTCCCAAGAGTGGAATTGTTGGGTCCTCATAGAATAATTGATGTTGGGTGTCAGTAGATGGTGTGGAAAGGTGGTCCTTAGTGTTTGTACCAATCGACACTATAAGAAGCAAGGTAGATTTCTCATTTCTTTCCTTCCACTCTGTCTCTTGGCTTTCTTTCTTCCATTTACTTACTCATTCAACCCACGCTTTACCATCATTCTCTGGCCCTGGCCTTGGCTGTGTATCTCATGGTGAACAGAACTCAAGGTGTACTGACCCTCCGCTCCCCTAGTTCAGGAGATAGGTGGATGGGAAGCCCCCAGCACCGCCTGGGTCCTCAGAAGGTCAGAGGTGAGGTCTGGGGAGGAGTGTGGTACTTAAGTCCTCCCTCTGGGAAAGCTGTATGGCAGGTGGGGGTGGCCATACCCCCTCCCCCAGATTTTGGACAAAGGGCCCACCTGCTCGAATACTGAGGGAGGCTTAATCAAGCTCCCTTCCTCAGGAGGCAGCCAGTTAAATGTGAGATCACATGGGCCTGGCCTCCTCCTGGAGGTTCTGCAGACCCTTTATTTTGAGCCTTATTTTGTTGGGAGTTGCAGATTTCGTTTGCTTCCTTCTGGTTACCTGAAGATGGTGATGGGGCGGCGGCGAGGTCTTCTCGCGTCCATTTCGGCCTCAGTTGCGGGAAGCGGGTGGGGGAGCAGGGAAGAGTGAGGTCCTGAACCCCAAGAGGGGGTCTCCAGGGACCCCAACCAACACTGGCGGTGGGACATAGCGGTTAAGGAGGCAGGGAAGCATCATCAGAGTCTTCCAAGCAAAGCTTTCTTTTTAGCGTTAGTTCAAACCCCTTCAAAGGGTTTTTCAGTCTTCTTTTTTTCTTTTGAGGAAAAAAGCTCAATTTCCCTCCTGTTTTATTCCTCTTCTCGAGCACAGCCGGCAAAGCCTTCGGAGCCTCCAATGCGGCAGCGCCATCTGCTGGCCACTTTTTGCATTGAGAGGTTAGATCCTTCGTGGGTCCCGCCTCCCTCCAGAAATGACTGATGAAAAGGGGAAAAGGATCTTCTTCACAGCCTTCAATACAACAAAAATGACCAGTAGCTAGGAACGAGGAAATGCACATTAAACCATGGATACCAGTTCACATCTATTACACTGAAAAATAATTTAAATATGCTAACAGCCAGTATTACAAAAAGTTCAAGAAATGGACATCTCTCATATATTCAGCTGGTGCAGGAGTTAGTACAGACTTTTAGGAGAGAGAAATTAGTATCATCAAAATCACTAAAAATGTTTATAGTTCAAAAATACCACTGTTTTTTAAATTGCTTTGAGTGCCCAAATACAAAAGAGACATTGGCTCAAGGCATTTGCTGCAGTGTTGCTTAGTAATAAGAAAAATTTGAAACGTTTCTAGACCATTAAAATAAGTATGGCACATATATTAGAATTCAATGTTATTAAAATAACATTGAAGAATATTATATATTATAGGAAAATGATCATGATCTATACATAAAATTTAATTATACCTTAATCATACTTTAATTAATTTTATCATATTACATATGATACTATAATTGTGGAGACCTGTCAGTGGTACATACATTTATTCAAGCCCACAGAATGTCCAACACCAAAGGTGAATCCTAATGGAAACTATGGACTCTGCGTAATAATGAGGCATTAATATAGGTTCACCAGCTGTAACAAATGTACAGCACTGGTGGGGGACGTTGGTAATGGGGGAGCCTGTTGGTGTGCAGGGCAGGGGTATATGGGAAATCTCTGCACCTTCCCCTCAGTTTTGCTGTGAAGCTAAAACTGCTCTAAAAAGATAGTCTATTTAAAAATTTAAAAAGCAGATTACAAAATAATATGTTAAGACCTAGTTCTGCTGAAGGCTGGGCAAGCTAATCATGGTCGCTGCCCTTTGGGGGTGGGGCCTGCCCTGCAGGGGCTCCTCAGGAAAGGACTTGGGCATTTCCCGCATAACCTACTTCCCAGGGCTTCACAAGAACTTTGGAGGGGGTCCTCTGGGGTTGCCAAGAAGGGAGCATATAAGTAAGTCTGGGGCTTCTATAGCCATCTTGTCACCAGGAAGAGATTGTTGAGAAAGAATGCAAAGCAGAGGAAAGCAGAGCCAGAGGGTGGAGAGAGTGTAAGTGAGAGAGACCAGATGACAGTGTCCCAGTCTTTGGATTTGACTTGGCTTGAAGCTGGTCTACTCCTTGACTTTTCAGATAATAAATTACTCCTTTGTCAGGTTACCCTGGCTTTCTGTCAGTTGTAACCAAAAGGCCTGTGTGCCCTGAACACAAGCTCTCCAGCTCATTCACCTGGCAACGAGTCAGTTCCTGGCGATGGCAGTGGCACACACCTTGCTAGGCGTCCTTCCACCAGCACCTCTCAGTGGGCACAGCCAGGGTGGCACATCAGAGAAGGGACAACCTGGGCCTGCCCCTTTCTGGGGCTTCAGCTGAGGTCTCCAGGGACAGAGGAGGTTCCTGCCTCAGGGCTGTGCTTCTGTTTTCCCTCTGCCTAAAATTGTCCCCTCCCCACACTGCCCTGACTGCCTCCTTGGCCTCCCCCGTGACTCCCTTAAATGCCACCTGCTCTGAGAAGCCTTCGCTGACCTTGTGACTGAGGGAGACCATTCTGTCCCAGCTTCTGTTTGCTCTGTGAGTGGTTCCCTTCTAATGTGTCACACCTTGATGAGGGCAGGGACCGAGTCCTGTTCACCACTGTGTCCCCAGGTCTTCACAGGGTCTGGTATGTGGAAGGAGCATCATCCTTCACTGCTTCCTGGGAAAATGAGAAAATGCACAGGTGAGTAAATAGTCTGGTGAGAGGCCCTATTCAAGGTGCTGTGAGGGTGGGGCTCTGTTCAGGGCCCCTTTGGGGGAGGGACAGTTTCTTGCTTTTATCAAGGGGTGCACAGTGACACCAGAAGGGGGTGCACAGTGACACCAGAAGGGGCATGCTGCAGGTTGAGGTTCTGACAGAGCTAGAACTCTCCCTCTCCGGGGGGTCTTACCTGATATCAGGAGCTGGGCCTAGATACTACCTCCCAACTGGGGTGTTGAAAGCCCAGGATGTCAACCAAAGTCAAATGCAGGCCAATGACTAAGGGGCTGGAGAGCAAACAGGGCTGCATATGGTTCTGGGGGACAGGGACCCAGTGCCATGGGGCCAGGCAAGGAAGCAGTGCTCCAGGTGGTGTGGGGCGATGTACAGACAGCATTGGATGACCCAGGCCATGTGGACGGAAACTTACTTTCTGTGTGGTATTCTCTAGCCCTTCCGAGTAAATCAAAGAGAAGGCTCAACTTGGTGATAACAGGTCTCTAACACTTGTCTCTGTCACTTTTTACAAAGAACCTCTGGCAGCCTCAGTCTCAAGGCCTGTCTCAGACAAAGAAAGGCTTGTGAGGTATAATAACAGTGGGAATAGGTTTCACTATTTTTATAGCAACCTTCTAATCATAGCAAGTGATTCTGATTTTCCATTTAGAATGGTAATAGGAAGTTTCTTTTTCAAATAAATTTAGGTGAGTAAAAGGAGATTGCTCGAAGGAAAATGGCAAGTGGATGACGGAACAGCTGGTGACATTGTCAGGTCCCCAGAGGGAGGGGGTGTGTGCATGAGAGGGAGGATTCCGGGAAGGCAGAGGTTCGTGGTCGCAGCAGGAAGCCCCTGGAGGAGCCCGGGAGAGCCGGCTGGACATCCTGGGGGTCTGCTTCCCCCGTGGGCGGGTGGTTTTTCTGCTTCAGGACAGAGTTACAGGTAGGGAGGACATCACAGAGCTAAGGGCATGTAGGCTCTGGGAGCCAAAGCCCACCCTGAGGTGGTTCTCCTAGAGGGCAGGCTAGCTGGCCCCACCCCAGGTTTCAATAGCGCTCCTGTGTCCCCATGTCTGGCTGCATGACCCCCAGCAGCTCTTGGAACTGCAGCCTGGATTATTCTGTCTCCCCTGCCTGCCAGACCTCATTGCTTCGGTGTGGACACCCAGGTCTGGTCCTGGAGCTGTCCCTTCTCACTATGTGACCTTGAGTGAGTTCCTTCTCTGGGCCTCAGTTTCCACATGTATAAGCAGAGATGAGTGAAATGACCTTTAAGGGCCCTTAAGGGAGAGGACCAGGGACATCTTTGCACCCCTCTCCTCCCACTCCACCCCATGGAGGGCTCAGTGAGGAAAACAGGCTTGGGGGCACACGGGCCTGCATTTAATTTCCTCCTCTACCTGTTGTCAGCTCTGTGACCTTGGGCAAGTCACTTGACCTCTCAGGGTGTCTGTGTCCTCATCTGTGAAATGGGACATCTCCCGAACAGAGCGGCGCTGGGCACAGTGTAGAACTCTGAAGGCACTGGGGAACTCTGGCCTGTAGCACACAGGCAGCCCCCCTAGGAGCTGTTTTTCCCATCCTGGCCTGGGCGTATGATGGGGGTATGAGACTGGCCAGCATCCCTGGCAGGGGCAGGGTCTCACAAAGATGCCTAATCCTATCCATCTGAAGGGGAGACCTCAGGGCTCCAGGTCACAGCTGCGGTAGGGAGGGGCTGCTGGAGTAGGCCTTTACCGGAGCCAGCCACCCTAAGGCTCCGGGGCAGAGCAGCCAGAGGGTGTGGGTGTGGGTGTGGGTGTGGGTGAGGTGGGCAAGGTGCCCTGCTTAGGGCCCCTGGGTCCTGGGGGAGGGCCTGGGGAGGGCAAAGACAGGGTGGGGAGGAACCCAGACAGCAGAATGCTCATGCTCTGCCGATGATTTTCTTGAGGCACCTTCAAGACTGTTCAACACAGGGCTTCTCAAACTTTCATCTATGTAGGAATCATCTTCGGGGGTGGGAAGGGTGGCTGGCATGGGAATTTTGTTAAAATGCTGATTCTGATTCGATAGGTCTAAGGTGGGGCCTGAACTTCTGCATTTCTCACAAGCTCTAGGTGACTCGGATACTTGTGGTTCCTGGGCCCACCCTGGCTGTTGAGGGTAGGTGCTCTCACTGTCCTGCGAGCTCAGCTTCTGAGAAGTCAGGAGAACAGGGTCCCATCCCAACTGCCACCACCCAGTGCCAAAGTCCCATGGAACAAAGACTAAGTAATACAGGTGGAGTGGGAGGGGCCAGGCAAACAGGGAAGTGGGGTACCCTCAGGGGCTGTGGTAGGCTGAGAGGAAAGCTTCCCAGAGGAAGGGGCTTGAGGAAGGGAGAGACTTGTTCCAGGAACCCAAGAAATGGGGGGCGGGTCTCTGACTTCTGCAGCAAATGGGAGGTGCCAGAGGGAGCTGACCATTGCAAGTCATCCTAGGCCATCAGACACCCAAAGTGGGTGGAGATACAATGGGCATGGCCAGAAGAAACGCCGCTGGACCCGTAGGGCAAGGTCATCCGAACTGGGAGGGCAGCATCACATGTCAGCAGGAAGGGGCAAAGTGGGGGCCCTGAAGCTGCCCTCTGTCGGCAGTCCCTTTTCTGGAAGCCAGAATAAGTCCATTCCCTGTGAACTATGTGGGGAGCTAGCCCTTCTTTAGGAGTCCTGGTGGGGAGCTCCCATTTACTCCATCAGGTTTTTTTTTTCCTCTCTACATCACACACACACACACACACCATATATATATATGATTTTGAAATGCTCATTTACCCCCATATTTTAGCATCTCTGAAGTCAGTGGGATCTTACAGGCTCTACTGGGCTGGAGTGATGTTGACTTCCTTCACAGAGAACCTGCTTTTGTGGTGCCAGCTACCTGGAACACCTCCATTGGAGACCATTTACCATGAGCACTCTGTTTCCAGTATTTTGGACCACCTTTTGTGTACTCAGACCTCTCAGTTCAAATTCTAGGGGATTCCCCACCCTTCACCCAGTGCCAAATGTGACTCATGCATTTCCTCACTATCCCTTTCAGTGTAGCAGTTTTTTTCCATTGACCCTTACAGTGGGGGGCTAACTCTTGGCTCTCCCAGCTTTTGCTGAAATCTATTAAACACCCCATGTTGGGCATCTTTTCTTTCTTAGTGAATATTTGGTGCATCTTGTAGTGGATAGATAGCATTTTATCTTTGATGAAATAACTTGTAAAATCATTCTGATCTTCTTCACCATTACAAATAGAGTCACATTGCTCTTATTTTTCCATCTAACACTTTCAATTTCCATATGCCCAGATTTTCAGGAAGTCCTGTATCTCCCACTTGAAGTATCCTTCTCCTGGAGTAAACTGAGACACTTGAAGGCTTTCTTGAAGGTTTTCTTGTCCCAAGGTGTCAGTCTGTGGCTAACTCCAGGACATAGCCTGATTGGGCCACTACAACTTTTGTCACATGGTGTCACTGGTGAACACATTCTGGTGCAGTTTAGTGAATGCTTGTCCACTGCTTTGGTGACCCCTTTGCTGAGCCAGATCCCCAACAGGTCATTCTGGTGTCCCACACTGTGGTTTCCAAGCTATAGCCTTCCCAAGTTTACCGTGATAAGCTCAGCCATACGGCTGAGGTCTTCATGGACTTCTAGCCTCAAACACATATTGGGCCCAAACCACCCTGTACCATCAGCTTCAGACCCAGTGCTGACCCCAGATCATTGGTCCAGAATCCCCTTCACTCTGGGCCCTTGGTGTCCTTCCCTGACAGTGGACTTTGGTCTAGGGAATCCTAAGCCATCAGAGACGTTCCAAGAACATTGTCCCTCAAATGGGGAGGTGTTGAGCATTTTGATCCATTTTCTACCCAGAGGCCCCACTGAGTATCTTTTCCCACCTCCCGTCAGGGTTATGTCTATAGATTTAGGGAGCTCATTCAAGGGAGAGTTGCGTTATAAATGAAAACACACCCTAGGTAATGATTAGATCATTCTAACCAGAGAATCACTGACAACTTCCTTTGCTAAAAATGCCTTGTATCACAGCGTTTCATGATATAACTGCATTCTAGTCCAGTATCATCCCACCCTTCAAAGGATGACGTACACCCCATCTCAGGATGAAGTTGTCCTTGAGCAGCAGCAGGTGAGCTTTTGTTTTGCACAGTTGGGTCTATATGCTAAGAGGGAAGAGCTAGAATACTTAGGATAATGGGTGGGAATGTTTGCAAGCAACATGGAACAGGGAATAGCAGAGAGAAAAGACTCATGACAACTGGAGAGAGTCCTCTGTTAGAAAATGGACTGAGTTTTGTCTGTGGTGTGTACTGCAAACCTCTTCTCCAACTACCTACAAAAACATCAGAAAGGTGGGGCTGACTCTCCCGTGCTTCGTCAGCTGGGCTTGTGGTTTTGAGATGAACTGGGCCTGGTATCAAAGGGACACAGGACACAAGCAGAGACCGCCAAAGACAAGTGACAGCAGCTCTGCCAACACAGGTAGGGAAAGGGAGGATCAGGGGAGGGGCTTGTCCAAGGTCACCCAGCAAGTGAGAGCCTAAAGGGGTTCTTCGCACTCAAAATGAACCCAAACAGTCCCCACTGCAGGGGTGGTCCCAAATCTCTAGCTTCCCTGCCGCCGTGGCTCAGTACAGATATTCTCGGACAGTGAGTTCCTTCAGTGTGAAGTTCCTGGGGGTGGGCTTCCGGAGCTGGCTCTCCTGAAGTCTCTCTTGCAGTGACACAAAGTCCTTGCCTAGCATGTAGGCCAGGCGGATCATGGCGTCCAGCAGAGGGGCGTAGTAACGATGGCCCTCCCGGGCCTGCAGACACTGGAGGGCCCTCTCTCCGGCTGCAAAGGCCTCCACAGGGCACTCGAGGTCACGGTGACACACCAGCATGGCGCAGAGAGACGGGACCACCATCACAGGGCAGTGGGCGGTCAGCTTCTCCTGTAGGGGCACCACGTGCACCAGGATGTCCAGGGCCTTGGTGTACTGCCCTGCTCGCAGGCAGCTGAAGGCTTCCTTGAGCTCTGGTCTTGTGAGGAAATCGATGAACTCGCGGGACCTGCGGATGCAGCGGATGCTGTAGAGCAGGTGCAGGTACTCCCTGAAGGCCAGCTTGCGCTCAGAGATCATCTCCTCGGTGAAGTTCCCCATCAGGTGCTTTTTGGGAAAGACGACATCTTCAATCTCTTCCCTGAAAGCCTTCTGGAGGCTCTTCTGCAGCATCTCGAAGTCTGAGTAGCGCCGCTCCAGGAGAGCTTTGTTGTTGTCAAAACTCCCTGTCTGGATGACAACGATTTGGTACATCTGTGGTGCAAAGAGAGAGAGCCTTTGACTACATCTTAGCAGAAGGCTCTAGCTGAGAGAGAGCCCCGGCAAGTAAAAATAATGATGATCATAATTTAAAACACGCCCTGAAAATGGATTATTGTCATATACAATTCTGTTTTAAATTGCTGCCGGCATTAGAGGAGCTATGAAAGCGAATCGTGACAAGAGTCAACCTGCTGAAAACAAGCCCAGGGACCTGGCAGAGTCTCAGGGGAAGGGAGAGCAAAGGAACGTGCCATGCAGGGGGTCTGGGGGTGCTCTTGGCTCTACGTGGTCAAAATTGGGCTTCAGCTTCCTGAAATGGGAAGCTTGGATTACTAGATCTGAGCTTCCCAAGTGTGGAACACCCAGGAGATGGTTTTAGGCCGTGTTCTGGCAGTGATGGTATACTGTGAGGAAACGATTCCTCTTCTGTTCTCTTTCAGGAGAATGCTGCCTAAGGTGCAAGCTGCCTGGATTATAATTCCAGCCCCATCACTGTCTAGCTGTGCGGACTTTGGTAGGTAGTTAACCTCTGTGATCCTCAATTTTCTTATCATACAATCAGTGTAGTAACAGTACTTACCTCACTGGGTGAGGATTTAGTGAGGTGACACACTGAAAGGGTGTGGCCTGCCCACGATGTGGTCAGCACTCCCTGTCCACTGTCATTATCCTAGTTCCAGTTAAGGGAGGGGTGGCGAGAAAGGTTGAGTGTGACTCTTGGTCATTAACATCCTCCCAACACAGGCTAAAATTCCATTTCAACAAACAGAGCAATCCCCAAGCACAGAGATTTCCTCCAGCCATGGTGTAACCAGCTAGAATTTACATATGGTACTTAGCTTTCCTTGTCTTTACTTTTATGATTACCTTTTCTTTATGCCATGTGATGCTGGTTTCCCTCTGAAATAAATTTCAAGTTTTTAAAAAGTGATCCAATTTAAAGAAAAAGATGAGGCAAATAACAGTATAAATGATACAGGGATATCAAACACCGTGAAGAAGGGACACAGGTGACTAATACTGGGTAACATGGGACTAATCTAGGCCAGTTTCTTCTTAGGATCAGGGGTCCTGAGTGCAAAATCTTGCTGTTTGACTGTTTTCTCTATAAGAACTCTGTGAGTTTAAGTGAATCAACCCATTTTATGGTTGGCAAAGCTGAGGCCCCACCAGACTTGCCCAGAGCTATGAAAGAGGTAGCGAAAGGCATGCCATCATTTCTTGATCTCTGCTCACCACAAACTTGGAGACTTTTCTCTCCTCGATACGGGCTGAAGTGATCTCAAAGAGCAGTTTGACGCGCTTCCAACAGCCCCTCTCTCTCCGCCAGTACTCCTGCAGTTCCCGTGTGGTCATGCTCGAGTGGGGGCTTGGGCTGTCCTGGGCATCTGGAGGCACAGCACCCTTAAGGATTTGCACCAGGTCAGGGCACATCAGGGGTGGGGGTTTGGGGAGGTGGCTGGTTTGTCTGGGATGGGACATCAGAATCTGGAAGAGCCATGAGTATTCCCCTCTCCCACCCCACCCTTTACAGGCCCAGTGGGACATCAGGTTGCCCTGTGCCCAACCTGGCAGAATGCATCCCACCACAGCCTAAAATGCCCACTACCCCAGATGGGCTCTCCGTTGTGAAGGGCAAGGTGTTTGTGTTGTGTCACCACATCCAGCCTGCAGATTGGCCCTTGTGAAACCTTGTGCTCCTGACAAGCAGGCTTGCCCATTTCTGCACTCCCTATGCCACTGGTACCCAACCTCCTGAGTACACATCAGCAAATGGTGGGGGGAGCTTTGAGGATGCTGGGCTCCTGGCTCAGCCTGCCTGGCCCCTCGACTCTCTCATTTCCTCCCCACACTCCACACTTTGTCTTGCATGTGCCACTCCTCTGCCTTATGTGCCCTCCTATTTCCCTGCCTGGAAACTAACAGTGTTCTTAAACCTCACTTGGGCCATAGGCCATTCTGAGAATCTTGGGAAAGATGAGAATCCTTCCTCACCAAATGCACAGATCATTTTATTTCAAGGGATATGGGTCTGAGGAGCCTTTCTCTCAAATGTGTCCTTCAAGGCCCAGCTCCCTGGCACTAGAGTAAGAGCCTTCCACCTTCTCCCAGTAGCCTTTCTTGGGGCATCTCAAATTGTTTTTCACAGATCCATTTCTCTACCAAACCTGAGGGCCAGCACCGTGTCTGATTGGTTACTGTTTCACCAGCACCTTACATAGCCAGGGACAGAGCAGGCCTTCAGTGGGCTCTTGAGTTGAGATCTGCTCCAGGAGACAGCATGGTAGTGGACGCTGTCGGTGCCTGCCATGTCCCCTTAGCACTCACATCCTACTGGCTTCCTACTGGAAGCACCTGTGACTCTCAGGGTGAGGGCTTTCTTGGGCTATAGCAGCATGTTCTGGAGCATCCCTTGACTGATGAAGGATAGGACTGGCAGATAACAATCTTGGGGGGACAGCTCAGAGATATGTTTTATACATACTGCAGAAGACCCCCTTTGGGACTGAGCCCAGTTGCCCACAGCGGTAATCTGTTCATCGACACCCTATGGTGGTTCCTGCCTCTTCTTTCCCTGATTTCCCACTTCCGTGTCATACCTCCTGGACCATCTCCCAGATAAAGGACTTGCACCAAATCCTTGTGTCAGTACCTACTTGCCCCACTCTCTTCGGGCACCATTGGAAGTATACATGTTTGTATTTAAAATGTTTTCAAACCTCTCTTTCTGACCAAGCCCACCTAAGTGCCCTTCAGGTCCTGGACGTGGGTGTTCTGGGCCAGTGGCTACGGGTCCTGCCCATCCAGGGCTCCCAGGGTGCTCAGGACTTGCCATGTTCCAAGGCTGCTGGGGGGACAAGAGAAAACAGTGAGTGCCTATCACTCTGAGATTCCTGGTGGGACCTGCGGTGCCTGGGATCCGTGTTATAGTCCATGCTGCCAAGCCCTCCGCCAGCTATCAGCTCAGCTGCCAGATGCCAAACCGGGGTCCACCCCTTTGCTGGATTCATCACTGCAAGGCCGAACAAATCCTTCTCTTATTGTTATGACCCTCATATGATCAAGTTGCTCTGAATCTTAAATGAAGTTAATTTCAAGCAAAGGTAATGGCTTTAGTGATTATGGGAGAAAGATGCTGGCTTGTCCAGAAAAATATCCTAACACTCCATATTATATCACACGTGTAAATGAAATCTGTATCCAAAGTGGAGATACTAGTATGTAACCTTCCCTCTATCTTTAAAGAAACACTTGCCGAGGACTTGTGAAGCCCACTTCATACACACCCAGGTTCTTCACATCCACTATTTTACTTAACACCCACAAGAATCTATCATGATTCCTGATGACAGATGAGGAAACTGCCGTTCAGGCCAAGGTCACATGGCTGGTGAATGCCCAACAAGCAGAGCCGAATACTTGCGAGGGGCCAGGCTGTGTACTTGCACATGACACCCACTTCTCTCACTTGATCTGACTCCATGTGTGGTAGGGGTTTTTATCTCCATTTTATGATAAAGAAACTGAGACTTAGAGGCGTTCACAATCAAGGCCAGTAAGCGATGGGCAGGACATGGGTGCGGGCTGGTCCTCTCTGCCCTCCTCAGGGACCAGAAGGGCAGGCCGGCTGCGGGAGTCCTGAGGTCCTCTGCAGTAGCTCTGTGGCCTGGATCAGTGAACAAGAGGGCCTGGTGCCTGACAAGTGACCAAGCTTCTCAGTTTTTCCTCAGTTTGCTATATAATGGGCATAAGACCCCACCTGCATGAGGCTGGTGTGAGACCGTGTGAAGCATCAGCTCAGGGCCCCTCACCTACCAGGTATGCATAACGGTCCCTATTAGTTTCTGATACAGGCAGATGCTTTGAGAAATATTTAAGAAATAAATGATTATAAATTAAGGCAGTGTCGGAATAGAATTAAAAATGTCTGAGACAAATTAGAAAAAGGGACAATTAAAATATTAGCTCAGAGGGAGCTGGGGTACCACCTAGGCACAGAAACTCTAAATAAGAAGGGTACAAGTGACCTCACCTCCTCTTTACAGACTCTAAGGGAGCTGCAGGTGGACATGGGGAAGAGCTGGGACTTGAACTCTGGCCTGTCGCCCTGTGTCTGTCCCCTGTGCTGACTATGGCCTAGAGAGAGGTAGGCCACTGCTGCTTCAACAGCCCCAGCTATGTCCCTGGCTGTGTCCATACGCTAGGGCTGAGGGTCTGGGGAGAGGAGAGGTCAGTGGGAGTCCATGATTCTCCAGGTAGCTCTGTGCTGTTATCCAATTGGTGTCCCTCAGGGACCTCTACCCAACTTTGCCTTATACAGATGGGAAACTGAGGCATGGGGCAAAGGCATGGCTGGCTCAGGGCTGCACATTTTCGAGCACACTATAACTTGTATACTTCATTTATTTCTTCTCTCACAGAGGCAGGCCTTCCATCCTGAGCAACTGTGGGTCTGTAGGCAAGTTATTTAGTATCTCCAGGCCTCAGTTTCCTCACCAGAGAACTGTAGCCACAAGCCCTGTCCTGCTGACAATATGATGGATGACTAGGGACAGGATCTCTATATTCTGGTAGGTGTTCAGGCAGGACAGTAGGTGGTCCACACGTTCTCTTATCTAATCAACTCTTGGCCAGGGTTCTTGGGGGGCCAGTGTTTCCTGTGGACACTCCTATATACCTGCCTCAGTTAACTCATCTGTAAAACCGGTGATGATGACAGGCATTGGCCTCAATGGTCCCAGCCCTCCCAGCTTTGTGTCCTGATCAGGCAGGTGGTGCTAGGTCAGAAGCAGGGCACTGTTTGCACTGAGACTCTGGGAGAATCCAGGAATGATGGTCCTGGCTGGATGTATGAATAAAGACTTGGGAAAGCTGAGCATGAACCCAGGTCTTAGAATAAAAATCAAATTCAGCAGCTAAAGCCAGCTCCTTTATGTTTTCTCTTATGGGATGGGCTGGGAGGAGGGGGAAGGAGGAAATTATGTATTGGTACATCCATGGAGTTTTGGGCAGCTTCCCATCTCTCTCTAGGTCTCCATTGCCTCATCTGTGAAATGGGGGAAGCATCCTGTCTCTCCAAAAGCTCTTTGGGGACAGCCCCGCATGGGGTTCTATGGGTCCTTCTCTCCTGTCTCCACACCAAGAATAGCCAAGGTTTCTAGACTTTACCAGAAAATCCTGCAGGTGTTACCACTGCTGGCTTGCAGGCCTGTACTCGGCCCAGGGGACAGAGGTAGGCCCAGCCCTCTGCCCTCCAGCTCTCTTAGAGCCATTCCAACCCTTCCCTCTGGGCGCCCTGAACCACTACACCCAACTCTGAAGGCTGTCCTTCTGATGGGGTGCACAGGGTGGCCTTCAGAGTCCATGCTACCTTTCTGAGGGGACTGCAGAGGTCTTTCCATTGGGGATGAGGCTCCAGCCAAGTAGAGTAAAGCAGCTGCTCTGACCTGGGAGACAGAAGATCCTGGACACTGGATGGCACCCCCCAAGCATGAGTGTGCCTTAGAATCTCCAGGGGGCAAGGAGGGTATTAAGGGTTTGTAAACAGCAGATTTCCCGGCTTCCAATAGCAGAGAGTTCAATCTAGTAGGTCTGAGGGGTGGGCACTGGATTCTGTATTTTGCACAAGTCCCCCAGAGCTATACTGATACAGGGGTTCTCTGGATCCAGGTTTTGAGAAACACAGGTGTGGCGAATTATTCCTCAGACTCAGGAGAGGTTGTAGAAGCATCCAGAACTTCAAACGGAATTGAGGTGATGGAGGGTCGGGGAGCTGCTTCCTGCTCTGCCCCACTGAGCTAAGGAGAGCCCTCCCCCGACAGGCTGTCATCAACCCTTCTCCTCCCTGCCCTGCCCCCAACAGGTACTGTGGGAGAGTCACAGGAGGAAGGGGCTCAGGTCACAGGTGGGCAGAAGCCCCGTGAGCTTGGGATGAAACACTGACCTGAGGCCTCTGGTCCTGTGCTAGTCCAGGGGTCCGGAGGGGTGTCACATGGCCGCCTTCAGCTCTCCGTTCCAAGTTCAGTGAGCAGTCGAGCGGCAGCTGCTATGCTAGGTTCCTTGTTTGAAAACAGGAAATAGTCTGTGTGACCTGCTCCTGGTTGCCCCAGCCCATTGGCTGGTGAAAGATGGCATATGAACTCAACTGACAAGACAGCCTGAGGTTGCTACAGGGCCCAGTGGGGCGGGGCAGGGCTGGAGCAGGACCAGTCCTGAGGTTATCTGGCTGGGCCTCAGTTCCTGTAGTTGTTCTGTCCCCGAGTCTTGGATCATCTCTGGCATTTGGGCAGCAGATCGCAGCACTCTATCACATTCACTATCTTACCCTATGATCTAGGCATGATGGAAGCCATCCTGTGCCATAAATATATGGGGAAACTGAGCCTTGGAGTACCAAGTTGGTGGGATGCAGAGCCAGTGCCTTATGTGGAAAGGGGGTGGGGTAAGCTCACAGTCCCACCTGGTGCCTTTCTCTGGACAAAGCTGCATCCAACACTCCCAACGAAAGCACCAGGGAAGCCAAACCTCTGGGCTGTGATGGGATTCTTGGCCACCAGTATTTGTGGTCTTGAGGGCAGGAGCCTGGGACAGGACAGAAACATAGAGCCTTGCTAGCCCCCCAAGTAGTACATATGGTATGTCCCTTCCCAGTATGATTCCCTCCCTCCCCTTTAGAGGATTCTGATGAGGGACACTTCCTTGCTTTCATTGTAAATTTACCACCTATGAATAGACCCCAAAACAATAGAGCTTCACTTTAACTCATTTTCGAATTTTATGTAAATTGAGCCATACATGCAGTTTGTGTGTTTTGGTGTCTTGCTTCTTTCATTCAACCTTTATGTGTAAGATTCACCCTTTTTTTTTTTTCATATTTGGAGTTTTTTCATTTTTATTATTGTGGGTTGCTACATTATTTAAGTATATCATTATTTCTCTTTTTCTTTTTTTGTCTGTTGATGTATATTTGTGATGTTTCTAGTTTGGACCATTGTGATCAAGGCTGATGGGAAAATTCCTACATTTGTCCAAGCAACATGTTTATCTGAAGTGAAATTGCTGTCCGCAACTATGCATAGCTTTAATTGTGCTGGATTACGCCAATTCATTTTCCTGAGTGGCTGCATCATTGTGCCCTCCCATGAACGACGTTTGAGAGTTGTAGGTGCTCCACATTCTCCCCTACCCTTGGTATGTATGGTCAGCATTTTTTATGTTAACCATCCTAGTGGGTGTGCAGTGGAAGCTTATCATGGTTTTTATTTGCATTTCCCTAAGGACTATTGATGAACATCTTCCATGGCTTATTTGCTATCCTTATATCATCTTGGTGAAGTGTCTGTTCAAGTCCCTCATTCATTTGTTGACCAGATTATTTTCATAACGGTTTGTAGTGTTGTTTCTGTAGTCATTTGGGTCTATACACATTTCAACATCCTGTCCCATCCTGGGGTTTGCATTTGTTCTCTCTTCATGGGGTCCTTTGATGAATAGAAGTTGCCAACTGTAAGTCTGGGGAGAGGAAATCCTGGGACAAAATACCTCTAAAAACCAAAATCGGTCGAAGGGAGAAATAAAGTTTAAAACCCATTTATTGCTTACGAACTGCAGTCCGGTGCCTTCTCTCTTTCCTGCTCCAGCAGAAGCAAAACTGGCCCTCCCCCTCCCCTCTCAGGTACAGATAATCCCTCCTTGCCCAGGTGATTACCCATTGATATGGAGACGAACTTCTCCCCACTTCTGAGGAGTGATGCAAATGCACTAAAGCCATATTTCTTTCCACCTCTGAACGCCTATTGATGTGCAGATATACTAAAGCCAGGTGAGATATTCTGGAAATATTACAATTTTACCCACACCAACTTTATTTAACTGTGCAATCTTTTCTTTCATAGCCAGTGTCATACCTTAAGACCATGCAGAGGTCTCCTTTATTGATCTTTATTCTACAACTTCACAGGCCATTTAAGGCTTAAGATGACTTGAAATGTCAAAGCACTTAGAACAATGCTGGTCTGTGGTCAACACGGCACTGCATGGTAAGTGCTGGCAATTCTCAAATGCTTTCTAGTTTGCCTTTCTCACTTGGGGTTTAGTAATGCACTTAGAGTAGATTTTTGTGTATGGTGTGAGGTAGGAAGGTCCCATGTTTGTTTACCTACTGACCTTTTTTTACTGAAATGGCCATCCAATCCTGCTGCTTCGCAGTGCCATTGCTATTGTGAGAGATAGTCCACATAGGTCAGGGTCTCTGTAGCTCAAGGGGACTATACCATGAATAGTGTGCCTCTGGAATACACCATGAATAGCCAGTGAGCCCTTTGAGTGCAGGGGCCACATCTTATTCATCTGCACCTCACACAGTTCTGCAAAGGGCCTGCCATGGTGGGAGATGCTGGCTCTGTATAGAGCAAGGCTGGGCCTTCCTCTGCCTTCCCTTCCCTGGGTCCCATCCTGCAGTTTTCCAGTTCTCTCCCCTACTCTGCCTGGGTCTGGAGTCTGTGAGAAGCCAGCTAGACTCTGAGCCCTTCTATGCTGCCCTGTGATTGGTTCACCCTGCAGCCAGCAACCATGGGGGAGTGTGTGTAGGAGCTACTGCTTCCTCTTTGGGGGCAGGGGATGCTCTTTGGAAACTCCCAGCCATGCAGGGGTGTCTGGTCTGCATAGAAAGGACCTAGCTGGCCACTAGGAGTTGGCTTTTCTGTGCAGCACAGAGCTCTATACGGCCCAGGAGAACAGGCGAGGACAGGACAGGCCCCTCTGCCATGGGGGAAGGGCACAGACATGGGCATCCCCCCATGTGGTGCTGAGGCAAGACGATGAGGTGCCCAGGGGCCCTGGAGAGTCAGGAAGAGAAATACTGATTTCTCAGAGTCTAGGTGCCTCTTCTAGAATGCAAACAGCTGGGCCTTTCAGTGACTTCCACACTCAGAGTAAATGCAGTCTCCCGAGGCTTCTGTGACCTGCTGCCCACTCCCTTCCTGCAAATGAGTTTCACACCACTCCCAGCCCCGCTTACTACACACCAACACCCCAGGATGCTTTCTGCCCCTCAGCTGTGCCTCAGGGCCTTTGTTCTTGCAGCTCCTTCAGCCAGCAGCGCCCTTCTCTTGGCTGCTTCCCACACCAGCTCTTCCTCAGCCTCAGCTCAGTAGCTTCCCCACCGACCACCCCCACCAAGGAGTCCCCCAAGACCACTGCTTTGCTTGTTTGTTCACTTGCATATTGCCAGTCTTACCCGCCACGATGGCGGGGGGTTCATGTCAGTATTCTGTCCCCAGTGCCCACCGCAGCACCTGCCAACGTAGTGGGTGCTCAGATATTGTTGGCTGAGTGAATGATGGGCGAATGCACGGAGGTGGTGATCAGGGCTGTGATCTAGCTCAGCCCTGACTCACGGTGTGACCTGGGCAGGCTCCCACCGCTCCCTGAATCTCATCTTCCTTAATTGCAACATGAGATTAAACGAAGGATCTTTCCATCGCTATTGGGCGAGTAACCGACTACTGTACACTACCACTTACCACCATTCTGGGCATCTGAAAGCTTGGGCCTCCCACACTGACACACCTCCTTTAACAAGAATTGATTGCTCACAGATGTGCTTCCACAAGTCTGGCAAAGAAAACCCAAACTGATGAGGTATTTGCTTGTAGGTGGTACAAAATCCAGTCATGTCAGTCTTATTTTTCCACAGCTGGATGTAGACTCATAAGCCTTTGAAAACTCCCAAAGTTTTTTCTACCATATGATCCAAGATTTTACTTTTGGATGTTTACTCAAAGAAAATGAAAACTAATTCCACACTGCTATGTTCACTGCAACATTATTTACAATAGCTGAGAGATAGAAGCAACCTAAATACCCAACAATGGATGAATGGATAAGAAAAATATGCCGTATATTCAATGGAATATTATATAGCCATAAAAGAATGAAATCTTGCCATTTGTGACAATATGGATGGACCTTGACAGCATTATGCTATGTGAAACAAGTCAGAGAAAGACAGATACCGTAAGATCTCACTTACATGTAGAATCTGAAACAAACCAAGCTCAGAGAAACAGAGAACAGACTGGTGGTTACCAGAGGCAGGAGATGGAGAGTGGGCAAAAAGGGGGTCAACAGGTGCAAGTGTCCAGTTATAAAATAAATAAGCCATGATGATGTGATGGACAGTATAGCAACTACAGTTAGCAATATACTATGCTGCATATTTGAAAGTCACTAAGAGAGTAGATTTTAAAAGTCCTCATTACAAGAAAAAAATTGTGTGACTATGTATGGTGACTGATGTTAACTAGAATTATTGTGGTGATCATTTCATAAAATATACAACTACTGAATCATTAGGTTGTGCACCTGAAAACAACAGTTATACAAAAAATCCTTTTCAAAAATCTCAGTTTCTTGACACTGTAGGATTTTGAAATTGGGACCGTAGATTGCACTGTGGGGCACCGCTGTGGTTGTACTGAGTTGTAAGAGGGTGTGGGCCTCATCTCTGCACTGCAGGTTGGGGACATCTCTGCCCCTCCCAGATCTCGCTCAGCCTCAGGTCTCTCTGTCCTGATCTATGGAGGGATTCGTGGCTAAGATGTGGAGAAAAATATGACTTGAATTATCAGCATAACACACACATCTTGTGTTCCTGGGAGGGTTGTTCATTTGGGTGAAGACTTTGGTGGGTGGTTTGGGTGGGGTTTGGGAACACTGTATATCATTTTAAGGCTTGTGGCCTGCAGAAAGTGCTTGAAAGGGCAGGAGGGGGCTGAAATCCATCACTTACTGTGCTTTTCCAAGTTGTTATTTGTGTCCACACAGATGAAGGGGGGTGACTTTCTCTAGTTTGAAAAGAAACATGATGTTGGGCTGGCTGTGAGTTAATGAGGGAGGTCTGAGGAACTATTTATTTAAAGACAGTAAAACATTTTGTTTTAAAGTGGAATTTGTAAGCTTGGGCTAGAGTGGAAGGGTCTGAGAAAATGAAGGTGCTTCTAGAAGCCATAGGTGAGAGGGTTGGATGAGAGAGGAGACACAGTAAAGGATTCTACGGAATTGGAGGCTGTCC